TTTTTATTTTGTTGATCAATCCTCCTACATTCAAGTCTAAATTGTTTATACAAACCACAATCAGCAAAGGCCTCAACACCAACCCCTGTGGAACTGCACTGAACACAGACTTCCAGTCACAAAACACCCCTCATCTTGTGAATCCCTAGATGAGTATAAGGCCAGTAGGAGTATACTTAAGAGAAAAATCAGGAGGACAGAAAGGGGACATAAGATAGCTTTGGTAAATAGAGGTAAGGAAAATCCAAAGAGATTCCATTAGTACATTAGGGGCAAAAGAGTAACTAGGGAGAGAATAGGGCCCCTTATAGATCAACATGGCTGTCTATGTGTGGATCCACAGGAGATGGGTGAGATACTAAACGAATATTTCGCATCAGTATTTACTGTGAAGAAGGACATGGAAGCTAGGGAACTTGGAAAATAGGGTGATATCTTGAAAAGAGTGCATTTTACAGAAGAAGAGGTGCTGGAAGTATTAAAACTCAAAGATAGATAAATCCCCAATACCTGATCAGGTGTTTCCCAGGTTTTTGTGGGAAACTAGGGAAGAAATTCCTGGACCCCTTGTTGACATATTTGTATCATCAACAGAAACAGATGAGATGCCAGAAGATTGGAGGTTGGCTAATGTGTTGCCAATACTTAAGAAAGGCTGTAAGGAAAAGCCAGGGATCTATATACCAGTGAGCCTTATGTCAATGGTGGGTATGTTGTTCGAGGGGATTTTGAGGGAAAGGATTTACATGTATTTGGAAAGGCAAGGACCGATTGTGGAGAGTCAACATGGCTCTGTGTGTGGGAAATCATGTCTCATTAACTTGATTGAGTTTTTCGAAGAGATGACAAAGAAGAGTGATGAGGGCAGAGTAGTAAACGTTGTCTATGTAGACTTCAGCAAAGCATTCAACAAGGTTCTACATGGTAGACTAGTTAGTAAGGCCAGATCATGAGATCCAAGTGGACTTAGTCATTTGGATAAAAAGTTGGCTTTAACGTAGGAGACAGGAGGCGGTGGTAGAGCATTGCTTTTTGGACTGGAGGCTTGGAAACCAGCTGTGTGCCACAAGAATCAGTACTGGGTCCACTGCTTTTCATAATTTATATAAATGATTTGCATGTATATAGGAGTGAATATAGGAGGCATGGTTAGTAAGTTTGCAGAAGATACGAAAGCAGGCGGTGTAGTGGATAGCCAAAAAGGTTATCTCAGAGTATGACAGGAGTGTTGTGGAACAGACAGACCTAGGAGTACAAACATATAGTTCATTGAAAGTGGTGTCACAGGTAGACAGGGTGGTGAAGAAGGCATTTAGCGTAGGGGCGTAGATAGGGTCAGTGGCCAAGGATATTTTCCTGGGATGCAGAGTCAAAAACTAGAAGGCATAAGGTGAGAGGGGAAAGATTTAAAAAGGACCTCAGAGGTAACCTTTTCATGCAAAGGGTGGTGTGTGTATGGAACAAGCTGCCAGAGGAAGTGGTGGAGGCAGGTATAATTACAACATTTAAAAGACATCTGGATTGGTATATGAATAGGAAGGGTTTACAGGGAAATGAGCCAAATGCTGGCAAATGGGACTAGATTAATTTAGGAAATCTGGTCAGCCTGGACAAGTTGGACCAAGGGGTCTGTTTCCATATCGTACAGCTCTATGACTCTATAGCTGTTATGAAAATCATTGGATGTTTAATATAAATATATTATTACTGACAATGTGAAGTAAAAATAGCGATAAGAAATTTTGACAGAAAATAATTCAAGCACACTTTTCATTTTTTCTTTGTGGGAAAAGCTGGAATAAAAATTTCATGGCAAATCTGGAATTTTAAAATAGAGGGAGATGGATGGCTTCAGTTATGTGAAGGTAACTGAATTTTTTAATGAGGTCCAAAGGTCATTTGGGATAATGTATTTACAGTAGTCAGATTGGATAATATGACGTTACTTTAAAAATCAGAAAGGATTATTATGCTGTCTTCCAGAAAACAATCAAAACAACTTACAAAAGCTGTATAACATACTCAAATCAAACAAAACTGAACTAAAGACATAATTTCAAAGAAGACATGCATCTAGCCAAGTTCTTGGTGCTAATGTGTGAAATTTATATTGCTGAGTTTATGACATACACGTGATAAAAAGAACATATCAGCGTACATAGATTAGTTTGACTTCAGTTCAGAAAAGAATTTCAGCCTATCAGAAAGATTTTAGTTTATGACTCCTACAACCTTTGACCACTTGTGTAGAAGTTTTGAAATTATCAGAACTGAAAAGAGATTTAGACCATTAGAATTTGAAACGGCTTGTACTAGCAGAATTAGGAACAAGTCATTTAACTCTCAGCATTTCTGAGAACTGAAAAGTGTCAGTTAAGTAACAAATTAAACAGTTGCAATAGGAGTGTGTTTTTTATATATAGAATTGAGTGGCTATAAAAATAATGATAGAGAATAGTTGAAACTTGTTCTGCTGTTAATGTTAAGATCTTTCTAAACTGTCTTATAAATGTAGCTTTGTTTTTCTCCTTGTATTTTGCATAAGAAACTTGTTAAATAACCTTTACAATCTCACATGTAAATATTCAGCAACAATCCACCACGGTAACCAACTCCAAAACTCAAACCTGTAATCTATCAGGCCAGGTTTCATTCTAGTATCATTTGCCCAGTATTAACTCATCAGGGATGCTGTTACATTGTCTCTAACCAGTAACGCTCAAGTAAGATAACAATTGAGGTTCCCAAATCTCCCTCATTTCAGCGATCAAAGGCTGTGGGTAGAAAGCAGGAGTACTGAGTTGGGTGATCTGCCATGATCATTTGATCACTGTGATCACTCACTTTTCCATCTTAAAATCACAATCTAATACCATCATGTGCTGTAATTCCAGGCATCATGCAGCTTATTGTTTTATAATTAAAAATTTTATATTTTTAGTATATGGTTTTATCTTGTCTTTTGGATGTATGAAGAGCCTCACTCTACAGCATTCTCTTATTTTCCAGCAAAAATACCAGCAGAGCTTACAGACTGGGGAGGGGAAGCTGAAAGTTAAAGGAACAGAGTAAAGCAGAAACAAAAAGAATGAAAGATGAAAGGTCTTAATAATATACATTACTGTCACTAAACTGCCCTCTGTAGCCCATGTTATAATGCAACTTCTGCCATATTTTTTAAGGCAATCACTGATGGTATAGTTTGGAACTGCATATCCAACACCAATGATGCAATTATTGTCCACTCCTTTAGAACCAGTGTTCCTCAGCCAATTAAATGCAAAGGCATCTTCCTTTCTAATATTTGGTATTTCTGTGACAATACAGTTGAATACCACTTTAAATTCATACAGCTTATTAAACAAGACTAACACTTGAATTATTAACGAAAACAGTGGATGCTAGAAAACTGACATCAAAGCAGAAAATTCTATAAATGTGCAGCTGGTCTAGCAATAACTGCAGAGCGATGAATAGAATTTACAAAGTGAAGGAGTGAAGAGGTTTTAGTGAAGCATAAATACCAGATAGATTGTCTAGGCCAAACAGCCTGTTTCTATATTCTTTTCTGTGTAATAAATCATTTGTAATCTCTGTAATGGCCAATGGATGCTAGAGGAACATTTGTAGTCGGACCCCTAGAGGTCAGGGTTGGGACCCTTGTTTTTATTGGTCTATATTAATGATTTAGACTTTAGTAGTACAGAGCACAATTTCAATTGTGGATGGTCCAAAACTTGAAAGCATTGTGAGTTACAATAAGTCAGGGAGAACTGTAGAATTTACAGGGAAAATTGGTGAATTGATAGAGTGGGCAGACAAGTGGTTAAAAAAATTTCAGAGAAGATATATGAAATGTTTAATTTGGGAAGAAAGTAAATGGAGAGACAATATAAAAAAATTATATAACTCTAAAGGGGATGCAGGAGTGGGGAGTTCTGGATACATATATGCATCAGTCATTGAAGAGGGCAGGACTGATTGAAAAAGCATTTAATACAGCATACACTATCCCAGGCTTTAATAATAGGAGCACAGCATGCAACAGCAAGAAAGTATGATTAATTTGTATCAGATACTAGCTTGAGCCCAGATACACTATTACGTCCAATTATGAGCACCGCAAATTTGGGAAAAATGTGAAGGCACTGGCGAGATTGGACAGAGAATTCAGAATAGTTCCATTCATGAGAAATTTTAGTTATGAAGATAGATTGGATAGGTTGGGACTGTTTTCCTTGGAGAAAAGAAGGTTGAGGAGATTTGATCAAGATATTCAAAACTATGAGGAGTCTGGGCAGAGTAGATAAGGAGAAACTGTTCTCACTTATGAAAGGTTTAAGAACAAGTGGGCCCAGATTTAAACTAATCAACAAAAGTGATATGAGAAAAAAAAACATTGCCCTGCAATGAGTGATTAAGGTCAGGATTGCACTTCCTCAGGTGTGATGGGAGGCAAGTTCAATCAAGGCATTCAGAAGAGAATTAGGCCTACTTGAAAGGAAGTTTGAGTCATGTGGAGAAGGCAGGAAAATGGCACTAAATAAATTGGCATTTGAAGAGTCAGAAAAGAGATGAAGTGCTGAATGGCCTTCCTCTGCATTGTGACAATGCTATGATTTCGTTATCAGGGTCTTCAGGGCTCTAATGTCAGGACCAAATGAGTAACTAAGCCAGCACATGCCTGCAGCAAGCTGAGGGATTTTACTGTAGTCAGCTTCCTGAATTACTGCATCTGGGCTCACCTTCCAATTCAAGTCAGTTGGTGAGCTTCCAATGCTCCTAGCTCAATCAGAGGAACCAGCAGCTCTTCTGTCAATGAAACAAACATAGAAAATAGGAACAAGAGTAGGCCATTCAGCAAATCGAGCCTGCTCCACCATTAAATATGATCATAGCAGATCACAATAGAGTAGGACTCCTGTGCTGGAGCTCATCCACACCGACTGCTTTTCTTTTTCTATTTTTTCCCCTCTCTTGTTTTTTCTTTTCTTACTTACCTTGTCCTGAGCTTGGACGGCATCAGCAGCAGTGACAACTAGCATGTGGATCTCAAGTGTTCTTCGGGCCCAGGGCGCGGACTTCAGGCAGTCTCGAGCCAGAACAGGGGGTCTAACACGGACCTTGAGCAGGCCCAATGCGGAGGAGGAGAGTGGGCTCAGTGTGGACCTTCAGTGAGCCCCTTTTTACTTTTCTGGAGCAAGCACAGGACCTGAAATCAGTGGCTGCTACATCAGCAGAGGCGACATCAGCAAGGTAGGCCCAGTGGCAAAAGATGGTGCATGAGGATCAGCGACTTCGTTGATGGTTGGGTCTGGTGCTGGTAGCAGCAAAGCCGTGGTGGAAGGGCATCATGGTACCATTAATGAGGTGGGACCAGCAGTGACAGAAGCAACTCTGACGTCGGTTGGTGCAGTGCAAGTGGCAGCGAGGCAGTGGCAGAGGATTATCAGCCCAGCAACATAGATGGCACCTGAGGATTGGCGATTTCGGCATTGGTTGGGTCCGGTGTAGATGGTGGCAAAGCAGTGGTGGAGGGGTGATGAGCTGGGCACTCTTCAAACAAAGTCTTTTTTTTCCCCTTCTTCTTAAATTATTCAAAATGGCACCAAGCTTTTCACTGTATTTTATTGTATTCTTATGTAAAATATACAAGACAATGAAATCAAAATCAAAATCAAATCAACTCAGTACCCTGCTCCTGCTTTCTCTCCACAGCCTTTGATCCCTTTAGCCCTACAAATTATATCTCCTCGCAAATACATTTAATGTTTTGGCCTCAACTGTTTTACATAACAAAGAATTCCACAGGCTCACCACTCACTAGGTGAAGAAATTTCTTATCTCATTCCTAAATGGCCTACCCTGTATCCTTAGACTGTGACCCCTGGTTCTGGACTCCTCACTCAGTGGGAACATCTTTCCTGTGTTTACCTTGTTTAATCCTGATAGAATTTTATAGGCTTCTATGAGATACCCCCATCCTCATTCTTCTAAATTCCAATGAATATTGTCCTAACCAATCAAGTCTCTCTCTCTGTGTTAGTCCTGCCTGCCACCAATCAGTCTGGTAAATCATTGTTGCGCTCTTTCCATAGCTCGAATGTCCTTCCTCAGATAAGGACACCAAAACTGCACACAATACTCCAGGTGTAGTCTCACCAAGCCCCTATACATTGGCAACAAGACATTCCTGTTCCTGTACCCGAAACCTCTAGCAATGAAAGCCAACACATTATTTGTGTTCTTCACTGCTTGTTGCATCTGCATACTTACTTTCAGCAACTGGTCATTCGGAATTTGTTGCAGCACTCTCTTTCCCAATCAATTGCCATTTAGATACTAATTTGCCTATCAAGTGGGTCACCTCACATTATACTTCATTTGCCATGCATTTACTGACTCACTCAACTTGTCCAAAGCACAAATCACTCTGCATCCTCCTCACAGCTCACCCTACCATCTAGCTTTGTATTTTTGCAAATTTGGAGATATTGCATTTAGTTCCCTCACCTCATCTAAATCATTAATATATAATGTGAATGGGTGGAGTCCAACCACAGATACCAAATGTACCCTATTCATCATTAGATGCCTTGTTTTTCCTACTCTTTGTTTTCTGTTTGCCATCTCTATTCAGGTCAGTATACAGCCCCAATCCCATGCACTTTAATTTTACATTCTAATCTTTTATGTGGGATCCTATTGAAAACTCAAGTAAACCATATCCACTGGCTCTCTCTTAACAGCTCTACTAGCTAAATCCTTGAAAAATTCCAGTAGATTGTCAAGCATAATTTCCCCTTCATAAATCTATGTCAAGTCTGCTCATCCTATCACTGTTTTCCAATGTCTCTTTCATTAAAACTTTTACAATAGACATTAGCATCTTTCCCCACTGTCGATGTCAGGCTATAATTCCCTGTTTTCTCACTACCTCACTTTTTTAAACTGTACGGTTACATTAGCTACCCACCAAGGCAAACAGTTCTAGAGTCTATAGACTCTTGAAAGATGACCATCAATACATCCATTATTTCTCAGACCACTTTCTCAAGTATTCTGGGATGTAGATTATTAGGCCCTGGAATTTACTGACCTTTAATGCCATCAATTTCCCCACTATCATTTCCCTACTATTACTGATTTCCTTCCGTTCCTCTCACTAGATGTTCCCCAACATTTTTGGGACATTATATATTCCTTTCTGTAGATATCACTAAAATATGTATTCAATTAGTCTGCTAGCCCTTTGCTTCCCATTATAACTTACACATTTTCGTTGTAAGGGACCTACATTTGTCTTCACTAAATTTTTTTTCACAGTTCGTTTGTCTAGGGGTATGATTCTCACTTAGGATTCCGTACAGCATTGACATGCTAGAGGTCCCGGGTTCAACTCCCAGGCAAGCACAGGTTTCAAAGGGCAGCATGGTGGTTTAGTGGTTAGCACTGTTGCCTCACAGCTCCAGGGACCTAGGTTCAATTCCACCCTCAGGTGATTGTCTGTCTGGAGTTTGCACATTGTCCCTATGTCTGTGTGGGTTTCCACTGGCTGCTCTGGGTTCTTCCCAGAGTCCAAAGATATGCAGATTAGGTGGATTGGCTATGCTAAATTACCTGTGGTGACCAGGGGTATGTGGATTAGGCATAGGAAATGTGGGGTTACAGGGAAGGGGTTGTCTGGGTGGGATGCTCTTTGGAGGGAGTAGTGTGGACTTGTTGGGCCAAAAGTCCTGTTTCCACACTGTAGGGATTCTCTGAAAAGCTTTAACAATTAGTTTGAATGCTTGCATAAGCTTACTCTAATGCTCTATTTTCCCCGTTTTAATCAATCCCTTTGTCCTCCTTTGCTGAAATCTAAATTTTTCCTTTTCTTAGGTCTGCTGCTTTTTTAACCAAGTTGTGTGCCCCTTCCTTGGATCTAATACTGTCTCTAATTTCACCTTGTTAGCCACGGTCATGCTACCTTTTTTTTAATTTTTGTGCCAGACAGGAATGAACAATCATTGTAGTTTCTTCATGTACTCTTTAAATATTGCTATTGCCTATCCACCATTATCCCATTATTTAACAGCATTCCCCAATTTATCATAGCCCAACTTGTGGCTTGCACCATCGCAGTTTCCTTTATTTAGATTCAGGACCTTAATTGATGCTGATACTATGTCCATAGAATCCCTACAGTGTGGAAAGAGGCCATTCGGCCCAACAAGTCAACACCGACCCTCTGAAGAGCATCCCACCCCAAGACCCACCCACCCCCCACCCTAACCCTGCATTTCCCATGGCTAACACATCCAACCTACACATCCCTGAATACTATGGGTAATTTAGCATGACCAATCCAACTAACTTGCACATCTTTAGACTGTCAGAGAAAACCCAAGCACCTGGCGGAAACCCATGCAGACACAGGGAGAACATGTAAACTCCACACAATCACCCGTGGCTGGAATCAAACCCAAGTCCCTGGCACTGTGAGGCAGCAATGCTAACTACCGAGCCACCACACCACCCATGTCCTTCTACATCTTCATGAAAAATTCTATCATATTGTGGTTATGCTTCCCAAGGGGCCTCACACGGATAGACTGCCAATTATTCATTTCTCATTACACAATACCCAGTCTAGGATGGCCTGTTCTCTAGCTGGTTCCTCAATGTATTGATCCACAAAAGCAGCTCATATACACTTTATGAATTCCTCCTCTATGGCATTATTGTTGATTTGATTTGTCTAATCTATAAAATAGCTGCAAAGATAAGAGCACCTGGTGCAGGAAGTAATATATTTGCAGCATAAAGGGTTGGCTATCTAACAGGAAACAGAGTAGTAATAACTGGAACTTTCTTGGATTGGCAACCTGCGACTTAGCTGGGTTCTCAACCATTTACAATCTACATCAGCAATAAGGATGACGGAACTGAATGTTTGGTAGCTAAATTTACTTGTGACACCAAAATAGATAAGAAAGTAAACTGTCACAAGGAGGCAGAATGTGCACAGGGATGTACACAGGCCAAGTTCATGGGCAAAACTTTGGCAGAAAGAGTATAATGTCAATAAATGTGAATTTGTCCACTTTGGCACAGAAAAGTGGTATTATATCAAAAAGAAGAGATGCTGAAGACTTGAGTATCCTGGTATATGAATCACACAAAGTTAGGATGCAGGTGCAGCAAGGGATTTATTCAAGACCAAGTTAGAAAGATTTTTGATCGAGAAAGAAGTCCAGGAGCTATGCGTATGCAGACAAGACAAGGAGATGATCACAAACACATCAACCATGATCTTGAATAGTGGAACAGTTCGAAGAACCAAATTGTCTACTGTTCCTAATTCACTCCTAAGAGAGTGAACACTGTTACAGCAGGAATCGACAGAGCAATCTCCACAAAGAGCCCCCCAAACTTGGACAAGTAGGTCGAATTTAAAATTCGTGCTGGAAGATCCCGTTGACCGATAGAGAAAAGCTCTCTCTCGTTGGGATGGCATAGGCAGCCTCCATGGGGCAGAGGACCACACTGGCCCTTTTGAATAGCCCCGAACAGGTTGAGTCCAACAATCTCGCTGGCCTCCTCCTTGGAGCAGGAGCTCCGTCCCCCACAGCCCGGGCGCTGGGAACCCGGCCGACCTGGGGAGGAAGCCGGCTGTTTCAGCCCCTTCCGTCCAGCTCTGCATCCGCGCTTCTTTCTTCACTTACAACGCTTGGTAAGTTTGCAGAGAGTGTCAGCCAGCTGTTGGTACTGCTTCCTGCTCATGTCTAATGGCCGTATCCTAGACATTGTTGCTCCTGTTCGGCCGCCAGACCCTTACTGACTCCACCACCTTCCCGTCTCTGTCCCTCTGTCACCAACGCCACAGTTTCCTTGGTAACGCCGAGAGACGCGGCCCAATAGAAACCCGCGAAGGTGGCGGTTGCGTGCGCACCTACTGGTGACGTCAGGCAATAGCTCCCCCGCAGAGACGAGTAGGCTGTAGTCGTGCTGTGTTCACACTGGCAGAGTTTTTTCTTCTTCATTCGTGGGATGAGGGCACTTCTAGCTGGGCCAGCATTTATTGTCCATCCATAGTTGAAAGATGTTGGTGAGCTGCCTTCTTTAAACTAGTGTAAGTCATTTGGTGGATAGGACTGGGGTGTTGGCAAGTTCCAAGAGCCACACTGAACGAATGGCTATATATTTCCAAGTCAGGATGGTGAGTGGTGGAGGAGATCTTTAAGGTGGTGGCGGTGGTGTTCTCATGTATTGGTTGCCCTTGGCCTTCTAGTAATCATGGTTTGGAAAACACTGTCAAGGAGCCTTTGTGAATTTCTGCAGTGTGTCTTTAAGTAGTATACATCACTGTTCCTGAGTGTTG